TCATGCCCCCCACCCTTGCTCGCCACAATTTCAGCAATCCGCAATGCCCAACAGATGTAAATCTATGAATTTCAGTGATCATATTGGTATCTTTTGTTTTGAGGGCTAAATTTTTACTTTTAATACCACCGCTCTTTCCCTTAACCTCCTATTTTAACTTTGCCTTAAAATAACATTCATTATGTGGCAATGTCAAGCTACTAGTTTGTAATTAAACAAAAACCAATTAATATTTGAACTTTCATTTATTTATTGTTGGCTTTTAACCCTAAGGCATGTCGTCTATTAGGATGTATAGTTATCGTAACAATATGGTTGTCAATATATTAATGCAAGCCTTGAGCCTGGTGTCTTTGGGCAAGCTTGTTGGTGTCCGGCTGAGGACTTGACAACGACATAATGTCCAATCTATTTCATTTTTGTTAGGGAAACCACTCTGCTGAATCTACATCTAACCAAGTATCTGGATGGAAAAGCAAGGAAATATAGTTCAGCTACTTCCCATCATCTGGCATATCTGTTAGGGGTATCAGTCTTAACCCAAAAACCTCATTTACGTTGCGTGAATTTGGATGTTGCTAGTGGGTCACTTTGAACCTTTATGAGACTACCTGGGTTTTAAATCCAACGATGCAGGGCTGTACATCTAGTGGATCTAAAATCCAAACCCGGATTTTCATGCCAATCAAAGCATGAAACCTGTCTTTCTTTCCGGAGTTGTAAGTGATTGGCACGAACAATCAAGTCTTCTTCATTAAGCTCCTCCTTGACTGTAGCGAGAAACGGGAACTGTGCAAATTCCCGACGTCCGATGTTTTGAGTATGCACTTCCGGCTTTTTAAGAAAAGCGATGCTGCTTTCTTTGTTCGAAGTAAGATTACTCAACTTGCCTCGAAGAGTTTTATTTAATAAGTTTGGTTTTTCAAAAACCTCAACCAGATAAAATACGTCTGACTTAGCTGTTAACAGTTATCTACCATAATCCATTCCAGAAAGGAATGGGATGATGGTGTGATGGCGAAGACATTTGCCCTTGGAGAGTCATGCAACAGTATAAGCTAGAGATCTGCACTGTTCTCTTCACACAACTACTGGAAAAGATGATCTTGAAGAGGGTTCGCTTTGATAGTGTTGATTACCATTATCACAGTTGACAGTGAATCTTCCAAGTTTTAGCCACGTGGTGCTCTCAATGAAACAGTGAGTTGTATGAACAGAAAGAACATTTTTTAACCAGGCAACGAATCCCTTATATTTTTCGATCATTTCGGTGGCATCTGTTGCATCTGCAACTATGTTCTGCATTGCGATGGAAATTTCAGTCAGGTAGACTGGCCCTTTGTATGAGTCTTAATTCTCATGGCAAACATCACTTCCACTAGCTTATTATCGTTAAAGAATCGGACATACGTCATGAGAACAACGTTGTTGTCAGATGAGGTAGATTCATCTAATTGTAACGAAAATTATCTGGACTGAGCCATCTCATCTATTCGCCTAGATACAGTAGAATTGCTGTGCGGAGTGGCTTGATCTACTTCTTGTGAATTCTTGTTCATCATATCAGACAGTATCATTGATACCGTAGGCGAGATATTTTGTCCAATCTGTTGTTCTTATAAGATCCCGTAAGTACACTCGTCATTTTTTGCACTGTCAGCAACCATTGTATTAAGTTGGTCTGTTTTCGAGACTATGTTGCAACTTTCTGCAAAAATCCACAGACCTTTTGTCCTTATGAACACTTTTCAAATGATTTTTCAGCTTACTTCGTCCTGTACATTTAGTTGAACGTGTTTTTGAAAATTAGACACAGGTAGACTGTAGTTTTGCGATGATGCGATAAATCCAATTGACAGGTATTCCATTTTGCACTGCCGATACTTCTGAAATATGCCACTAAAAACTGTTAATACGTACCGTAACACAATCTTGCTGTTTTGTTTTATTTTTTAATGTACACTTATACCATGGGTATCAAATAGCATCATTCGATAAGACGAAACACACAGGTAGTATGAATCATTGGTGGTGCTAAATTTATTCTTGCTTGACCGTGAGATTATAAAATGTTTGGTAAGCATACTTGTAACGTGTTGTAGCAAGGATGATGCGACAATGAAGCACAATCTTTATTAACGCGATCACAAGCTATCCGACTACTCATGCAGGCGTGCATTAATGAGTCATGTTTCCTTCCTACGACGCATCATGTCCCCTGGTTTCCGTTCACAACACTTCCATGCACTTTTGGGACTTCGTGTTGGACTATTTCCTGGCCAATTTACCCCCCCCCCCCTATCTCCGATTCTACGCATCCCATTCTGTTCAGCCCGTAATCGTTCGATAGCTCGGGATTTGATTGACCGTGGATGCATCACTGCTTAGGGTCGGTCCGAGAGGCTGCAATAACGGAGCTTTTGTCTGGTTTATTGCGTTTTCGACAAATACCCTCTGTTCTGTTTGGCTCAGACTCACTACCAAACGCCGCTCGTGACCAGTTCTGATCTTGTTCCCTCAGGCTAGCGTGGTTCCGTCTGCCCTCCCTAATTGCGGCTCTCTTACTTCCATCCGCCCCCCGTTTTTGAAGTCGTTCTGTCTTCCGGACAATCGCTCCCTGCAATATCTTGGTTGCTACAGTGCTAATATGTAAGGGTATAGAAATCCTGTTAGAGGCATCTTAAAGGTTGTTTCTGAAGATAACTCTGAAAATGCCGTGAATAGCTAAAATGACTGAAGGAAACTTCTTGACGTAAGCCAATGTAGAAAATAAATGGAGCTCAGCAAATTACAATGCTCACTGAACACACATGCATTACAGGCAAGTTATAGAAAGTAGTGCGAACAAATGAAGAACGGAAGAGACAAACGAGGAAGTAAATGCCGCATAGTTCAAGAAACCGGCACGGAAGAGTCAAAAACCAAACTAATAACGTACATTGGCTATTTCCGAACATGGCTCCTAATGCATGCTAGCAAGACCCTTGATTCCCATGAGTATTAGAAGATGTATTCTTATATACACTTTATGGTATATACTCACCAAAGAAACCGGATGTCCGCACCTATGATGTAAGTTAGCAAAACTGCTCGCACATTTGAAAACTCCCGCAAGCGTTTTAACGCGTTCTGGCTGTTTCGACTCTTAGTCGGAACGAACTTTCTTCACAGGCAGCATTTCACACGCCAGAGTAGCCACTCGATTTCGGAACTTCGCGGACTAACATTATCTATCCACCAGACCTACACGCGAGCTAAGACGAGATGAAAAAACACGCAACTTCACACAACTGCACTGAGACCCGAGAGAGAGGCTGACCGGCACATGAATTGTCACAGTGGTAATGTCGTGACGAAGACCCGGTTAGTGTCAGTGTTGCTCTATGCGCTAACGTCCGCAGTATACTGATGGGAGTTCGTTAGGTTCACTGCAGCTTGCCCAGTAGACGCAATAATGTCCAGAATAAATCTTATTTAGTTCACGGTGGATAAGCATCAAAGTGCTGAGGACGAATCGGTTGTTAGTTGCGCAGTCTGAGTCGCCTTATCGTGGTTATATTTTTGAGATGAGCCCGGCGAAATCTGCGTAAATTTGGCAGGTCTCTACCAGCTCCACAACGGAGAGACTTCCCGGTGTGCATTCACACTTTCGTACACAGCCACTTGCGAACGCGTACTCCATTTCGCTGACCGGTAGTTACCAGGGAAGATTAGTGCACGGAGAGAAACCAACAGAAAATGAATTTAAATGAATTTTGTTATCACAGCCCACTTTTCACAGTATGGCCCCCTGTGCCCCCTCCCTAAAAACTTTCCTCAACCCAGGGCCTCCCTGTAATTCTCCATGGCCCCCAGGGGGGGCCATATGGCTATCTTTGAGCATGGCTAGTTGGGAGCGCAATAGTACGCATACTTCAGGTTATTTTCAGTCAAGTAGTACTGTTCTACACGTGTTCACCACTCTTGGCTTCAGTTAAGTGTCCCTTTCACCTTTGTAATTCAGTGCCATCATGTAAAGATGCGCTACTTTTAGCGTTTCTTTTCATCCTGCTCTTCGGATATAAACCGTTACCCTCAATGAATAGTGAGCCGAAACCGAAGACGCTTAGTCCGTTTCGCAAAATTGCTCCAATGACTAATTATTTATGGAATTTTTTATGCCTTTACAATTGTACTGTTTCGTACTTTATTCTTTGTTCACTGCTTCGTATTGTTTCTCGTTTAATTACCAATCTACACCTACGACTCGCTAGTATCTATATGTAAATCATTTTCAGCAGTGACGTTGCATCTCGTTTGACACTCAAGGAAGCATTAGATTCGTGGCTGAAAATTCTTTGGTTACGTATTTATTACCAACATGTCATCATCATCATTGCACATCAGCTGAAGGTGAAACACACTTCAATTATTTTGCCACAATACCCGAAGACATACAAAGAAGCAAGATAACGAAATCTATGGAATGCAAAAAATAACAGACGACAGACTACTTAGTAACATATTATGCGTCAAGTGGGAACTCGTGGTTAGAGAGGGAAGATAAGCGGGATGGAGAGGGACAAAAAAACTCACAACACAAACGTCATTGAGGTTGGCTCCTTGTCATGACAATTAGTGTATCTATCCAAACGTGTTCATCGTGCTTCGGACCCCAGCCAGGTAGTCGGGACACACCAACCAACCGGTCAGTAACTTTGTGGCTTTGTTGAACACATGGACTTTCCATTCCATACGTCGCTGGTTCGCATCTGCGTAGATACGAGCGACTTTGCAGTATCTGTAACCCCCGCTGAACTGGTCGCGATCGTATGAAAGTAAAGCGTCGGTACAAATTACCAACTTTAATCCCCCCCCCCAGGAAATGCTGCAATCCCGCTCATGTAACCCTTCTGCTTTACGGTGGGCATGTTGTCTTTGTCAACTTAATTTTTACTTAATTTTTTCTTCGCATGTAGTGACTAGTCATTGATTATCGAGAATGCTTTATTTTCCTACAGACCATTACTGGTGCGCTTCCCTGGCGCTCAATGAGCTTTTTATTAGCTCTACTGCGCTCTGAAAGTCATCTGAATTGACCAATGTCCCAAGTTAACAGCGCTAGCGCCACTGTCAATAGCATCGCCACGCCGTGGAACAGAACGCCAGGTGCGTTTTGGTTTTGAATGTTATGTATTCTTCTGCTCCACCACCTGCTAATTGTTGCAAAAATACTAACAACGCGTTTTTCTTAGGTATTACCATGGCGACGCATTCCTTCTGTTAAATCAGCCCCTTTTCAATAGTTAGATCGTAGTTTATTGACATGGCCGAACTTAACAAATCAGCTTTTACAGGCCTACTGATGTCTGTATTGTTTTCCAGATTTTCTGTCTTTTTCCTTTCCATTTGTGAGCTTTTCACGCACAATTTGATACACTTGATTCGGCCATTCGAATTCGGTTGCGTACTCTATTGGCAATCGTGCTCACCTTTTTGTCAACTCATTTTAAGCTGTTTTTACAAATACACATCAGCGGTCATCTCAAGCTACTGTTCGTTCTTTGTTTCCAACCGTTCACGTAACGTGTATGCCTTTATTGTTCTCATCTTAGGCAAACCTGGTGTTGGCTCTGGTACTTCAAACGCCCTGTCATCCCTATCCTCAAGCCGCTGGTCTGGCAACAAGGCGTCAACTATTAAACGAGACCAACCTGCAGAAGGTGAGTTATGTTGCCTGAACCGGTTCTTCATCTCATCAGATCGAACTGATCGAGTGACAAGCGGCAATCCAGATAGCAACACACAAATGTGGCCCTCTCTTTTCGAGTCCACACGAATATCCGACTCCGCAGCCAACGCGTTCTCCGCCAATTCGGATCCAACTGTCGGCACCAACCAGGTAGGTATGCGATGTTGTCGTTTCTGTGCGTGGTAACTTAATCTATGTGCATTAATCCATACTCGAACTTTCTGGGTTTCGATGACCTTTACTTTCTGGGAGTATCAAGGATTTTTTGGGCGTGAGGGAACAGACGCAATTGCATCACGGTTTTCGTGAATGCGCCACACTCTACTGGGTATTCACCCACTGATGCGGCCGATCCTGAGCTTTCCATTCAAGCAAACGAAATGCACCAACGTTCATTGGCTTTTCTGCGCTGTCTGTGCCACATCACCGACCCGCCACCTTGGGATTCGCCTAGAAATGTCGCGCTGTCTCCTCTGGTTAACAGGCCTGTAGATGAGGCAACTTAGCCGGAATAGGCCATTGCGACATCATTTGGTACTCCCGCCGTGATAACCCTCTAAGATGTGAGTTGCTTACGTTACCATCACTTGCGAAATCATCGCGAATTGTTTTTGATTTCGCAACATCAGAGGATGCACGTAATAAGAGGACTGAAATCTTCAGCGTCATTCACTGCACTAGCCACTATGCATGACATCATTGTTCTTACCTCTTTTTCGCGGTAACTGTGATATCTTTCTCACGATTTGTTAAGTTTTACTCGATGCGCAAGATGGCCAACTTTTGCCCACCACCTGATAATCTTAACTCGAATGGAAAGTAGATTGGTTTGTGGGCGTCTTCACAACTGCGCCGCCCAAAAGTAAGGGGTGGAGGGAGCGTTTTTAGAAGTTCTACATACTTATTGACTAACCATGCCATGTCCACTGCAGCCCCCAGGAATCTCATAGGAAACGGCGCTCCTACTTAGGAGGTCACTTACCATCATATCATGTAACCGCCTCAACGACATTATTCGGTGGAAACTACTAGGTGGAGTGCCAGTATATTTAGAGACAACACGCAATGCCACGAACCTTTGGTATCAGATAGGATGTGCTAACCAAATACTAATAAAACCGTAAGTCACACGGACGCGCGGATTTATCGCAAGAAGCTACAGTAATATCTGCTGTGGTATGATCATTGAGAGCGATAAGCGGCTCCGGCTGTCTCTTCAAGTACAAAGAAAGAGATCACAGGCACGCCCATGGCCTGTTCCTTAGAATGGAAGCATAGCCACACCTTTAAATCCTAGTCTTCGACCACTGTAGAGTCCCGAGTGGGGGTCGTTCGTGAATAGACTGCGATTGAAGAGATAGTAAGGAGCGAGTCTAACGACTCAAAAATGGAAGTTTTCTTTACCGAAATACCATTCTCCTAGCGCCTCGGGCATTCTGTAGCATGCAAAAAGCGTTCGCAATAATGAGCAGTCTTTAATTATCACGAATCTCCATTGCCACCATTTCGCGATTATTGCTATTACTCGGAGTCATGTCTTCCCAATCTGCCAGCTCGACAGCGCTCCATGAGAGCACTAGATAGCTGTTGTCTTTTACCATCCAATTACTGAAGAGAATGTTGTGTATACAACTGAGAAACACCAGTCTATCGGGTTACGCAACTCCGCACTAACTCTTGGGCTGCTATTTGGATCGGGGATATGGCCACGGGCATTTGAAGACTCCGAGAGACTGGTTATCTTTGCCACTGGGTGCCTAATAGTCTTTGTTCACTTGTGATGAGACCAAGCTGCAATCGATGTTAGAATCTACCAATCGGTGTTCTACATAGGGCCTCCTGGCGCCGTATTAGGCTGGTTGTTGAAGTTAGATCGCTTACATCGGGTGCTCGCCACCGACGTTCCTGCTTGATGTTGTCCCCGCTGGCCTGCTGATATCCCTAGGCGACCTACCAGTGAAATAGTATGAAGTTGCGAGGAAATTGACTGAAAAGTCTATCTCAGTTTCGATTCGGCCACACCATTGGTTAGTTATCTTGTCCAACCTAACTCAACCTTGAAGTCAAAGTGTTCTTTCACAGGACAATCATATCTGCTCTGATCTTTTTCATCCTTTATGGGTTTGCTTACCTGTTTTGCTGACCATGGCAAGCGTTTCGGTGCTTACATCTTGTAATTAGTTGATAGTTCTTCTCATTCAGATAGTCCCATAAAGGCACGCTACACGGTCGCTTCATCCTATCGGTACTCGTCATCCCACTAGACTTGAACCATAGTTATTATGTTGCGCTGAACTGAAACCTCACGTCTGAAGCACAGTGATCCCAATTTTCGCCGCTCAGTTGCATCGATGATATTTCACGGAGCATTCTACAGCTTGTGTTTGGCACATACAGTGCCTTATCATTTCGTACAACGTTCGCATCTTTCGGACTCCAAACCTGAACCTCACTGCGATCCTTTCATCGATTGATCCATCAAAATTGACTCACTTATCTGAACGGTTCGCGAATAACCGCATGGACCAGTGTTTTGGTAACTGTCCTGTAGCAACATCATGCACTTTAAGAGTGCGAACACACGGTAACAAAGTTCTGAAGCACCGTATTCAAACTTTTGCTAGGGCTGCACGAGATTCCAAACGAGAGATCCCGGCTGCCTGGTCTTAATCCGCTTCGGGTCATTTGATCTAATTTTTGCACTGGATGAGACACCTTTATCATGAGCTTTGACGGCATGTCAATATATGGCATCATTAGCCACGTCCCCGACGTGGCTATAAGCATCACGCAAGGGGTTTCCTTCCGTTCAGTTTTGATCGTTTGCTTCCGATCCGGTCGGCTAAATCAGAGTGCATTTCAAGGAAGTCCACTGTTGCCGTTTACTTGTATACACGTCGAATAACAGTAGTATTATTAATACTTTCCATTTCAAGACAGATTATCACTGATTGGACCACTTCTCTAGACACCACACTATTACTGAACGTTTCTTGCTTATTGGGTTTTTCCCTAAGCCAACTTGTTCTCTGGTTATTTGTAGGTTGCGCAGTTAGCCCTAATGTTACTTGACTTTACCACGTGCGCTTGATTTTCCCTTATTTCTCACCTTGTCTGCTTACTATGCAAATGATGCTACAGTGATGATGATCTCCTTTACCTTGCTTGTTTATGGCGCCTGTTAAGTGTTTAACCGCTCTGTTTTGAACCTTTAGATGTGTATTAATTAATCACGCTAGAGTGAGGGTTTACGGCAAGCTTTCCTCGCCATTCGCTGTCAATAGCGGTGTGCGACAACGCTGCCCTATGTCCCTATTCCTCTTCTACTTCGCAGTCGAAGACGTTCTGTCAAGTGCTCTAGAAGGTTTCCAACATTTTGGCTTGGAGCCAACACGTGAGCGCGCGACCGACTTATATTATGCTGATGATATCGCCTTACTTGGTGACGATCCTCATGGTATGCAACTCACCCTGGATCGTTAGACGCTTGAAGCATCTAAGTAGGCATAAGCTTCTCCCATCGAAGTGTAAAGTACTGCTCCAGGATTGTCCTACACTTGCTCCCGTGCTCACTCTTGAAGGTGCACAACTTGAACAGGTAGATGGTTCCATCTACCTTGGGAACTGTGTTTCTGCTAACGACACTGTCAGCAAGGAGGTTTCTCTTCGCATCGCTAAAGGCCGATCAGCATTTGCCAATCTACAGCACTTGTGGTGTCGTCGCGACGTCTCATTCTCTCTAAAGGGCCGTGTTTACAGCGCATCGGTTCATTCAGTCTTTTTGTATGGGAGCGAGTCCTGGCCAATTCGCGTGGAAGACATGTGTCGTCTTTCTGCTTTCGACAACAGTTGTTTAAGGAGGATCACTCGTGTTTGTTGGGAACATCTTCACGGTGATGACGTTCGACGTTGCATCTTAGGAAATGCGAGTATTCCCTTCAACGAACTGCGCCAGTTGAGATGGCTGGGTCACGTCTTACGCATGACACCTGAGCGTCTACCGTGTCCCGCTCTATTCGCTCGTCAAGAACCTGGCTGGAGGCGACCGCGTGGTGCTCAGCCTTCCACTTGGCTATAGCACATAAAATCACTGACGTCACGTCTAGCCGCCGTTGGATCCGTTCATCTTCTAGGATGTGCACCCAAGGATGAGGAGTGCTAATGGCTTAACACGCTTGAAGACATGGCCTGCAACTGGAACCAGTGGGAAAATTGTGTACAGAATTGTATCGATTCCCAAGTTTAATACTTCTAACATTGCAACTGACAAAAAGGAGAGATATCGGCTTGTGAAAACAAACTAAAAATGCCTTGTTCTATTTTTTGTCCGAATGTTCTTTTTCCCTGCGACACAGTAGCTGAACTGTGTTACTCACCTTCAACTACTGTGCCACGATGATTATGACGCGGCAACTCTCTCCCTTATCCGCTAATCTCCGTCGTTTTTGGCTCTATGTCTATTTACTAAACTGTTGATATTACTACTACTACTACTACCGGCTGGGTGATGTCCCCTGATCAAATTCCCGTACTACTTTACCACAGCCATAGATACGTTTAGCCACGAAATTCCCTGTAATATTCCCAGTAAAATGTGGGATTATACGCTCCTTTTTCATGCCAACGAATTCTCTCATTGTAAACCTGCGAAGTTTCCCACATGTGACCATTTTCCACCATAAACCCGTTTTTAACACAGTTTTTGATTGAACTATCCACTCCATATTTGAGTTCATTTTTTGTTATCTTGGAGCTAAACACGGTCACAACCTAGCATCTTTGTATAGTATCATCCAGTTAAGACTGAATGACTTTCCCCCTGATTTTCTTGTTCAAAATGTCACGCTTTTTGCACACTGCTGGTTTCCGAACAAAGAGTATAGGCGTTTCAATGCGATACTTCGTTCGGTAGATAACTGACTTTGAGCTACCTCACGTTACTGATCATTAGGTCGTTGGTATACCTGTCCGCATTCGTTTGTTTTAACCGTCAGTTCCTAGGATTCCGTTTTTAACACATATCAAGCAGCTGGTATGGGTTCCCTCGAGCGCTTATCGTGACAACTGGAGCGCACATTTGGTTCTTTTAGAGAATGCATCCATTTGGCTCTGGATTTTCACAATGGCACTCGGCGGTTGTTTCATGCAGTTTCCTCATTGCGAAAGTGGCAGGATGCGTTTGACTGTTTGGGGATACCCAATGAATGTTCACTGCAATGCTGTTGGTTTCGTTTTTCTGACTTCTTATGTGCCCATTTGTCCTCCGCCTCAGTGGTCGCTTCCTGCATTGACTGGTACGGTCGGATCGAACTCACTACTCGGGGCTCCTGGAAGTTCGACCCCCTGTTCCAACGCATGGTCCATCAATGCTCCAGCGCCAAACTGCTCGGTTATCCCTCGTGCGATCACCGGACATCATTCCATTCCAGCCTCAGACTCAGATTCCACTCGTCGCTATCTCACTGGTACCGGTGTTCCTGCCTGTGGCGGTAATGGCGTTGGTTGGCCTCTGTGCTCAGCTGAGCCTTCTGATTTGCTTAATGGTAACTTCCCACTGCACTTTCTGATTTTCTAATCTCTTGGCGTTGTTTCACTATTTGTTCATCCACATGACTTGCGCGTTCCTTGTTCACGCAGTTTTTTACCACCACAACTCCATTCATATTCTTCTCATACAGTCCAACGAGTCTCCCTATGGAGTATTTACCTTGTACGAAAGCCTCCACACACATTAGCAAAGCTGTACATGGGCACACGTGTAAATTTAAAAATTGATCTGGCGGCGTCTACGTTTATTACGTAATCTGGTTTCCCTCCATGCTCCCGATGCCGTGTTGGCAGGACGACTGGCGTTTGAATATGCATGCATCACGGCTCTTCCGCTCGTGCCTCAACATTTGCTATAACGTAATAGGGGCATTTAAATGGTATAACTCGAAGTCGTCACTATTAGACTCAATCAGACAGCCATCACATATCCGAGCAGGCAGTAGATGGCTGTTTCATCCCTTCATGTACCATCAGCGCTGTGACCCTACTATCACGAGCGCGTGCTTAACCCCAGGGGGTACAATGATCGGCATGGCTGAGCTACTAAGTGTGACATAACTTGGCTCATTCTTCCTTGACATACTCGTCATTAGTTTATGGATACCTTTTATCTGTTGCTGCGCATCTGTCTACGTCAACAATTTTCTCGTCTTCATACACCATTACAACGGATTATTGTGACCCCTGTCTTTCTAATTCACCGCAATTCCCCTATCTATTATCACCTCTCAGTTCAGACTGTCTCTCGTCTTTTTTCTGCTACCAGATGATACATCCCATCTGTCTCTAACCCTCTCAAAAATGAACATAAATAGTGCGCTTCCGCCGGCCTCCTGTTTTCAACCATCACAAGAGTTCACCGATGGTCAGCTGCTGTCCTCGAATGCGAAGCAGCCTGATACCTTACCAGATACTACCTCTAGTCAGAAATCAAGGAATCGATCCAGCACTGATAATACCGAAATTGAAGCTTTGTTCTCCCTGGATCCTGAAGAGACACTCCGATCTATGGTAAATACATCTCAACCATGGGGTCTGGCTTTGGTAGATCAGGGCACAACATGGGACACAATTGAATTGGCCGGTGATTCTGGCAATACAGAAGCTTCACCTGTGAGCGACGCAACGAACACCAGTTCACGCGCCCCTGGTTCTCATTCTGGCACTACCTTTGATGGACCCGGTTCAGGTGGCTTGCAGCAAAGGCGAATAGTACCACCGTTAACGGGTTCCACAATAGGCAGAGACTTGGAGTCTAACATTTGGCCAAGTGAACCACCCAATGGCACGGGAATTTGGGAGTCCCATTACGAGAGCCTTGGTGAACGGACGGCACGTTGGCAGCAAAACATCGCTACCAGCTTGGCACAGCCCGGATTTTCCATTCACTCGGCCAATGGCCATCAGGGTCTCATTACTTGCCAAAATCCACCCTGTACTCGACCTCAGCTGTCCTCCGGTTCAGACAATGGTGCTTTGTTTCGTGGGTTCACCCGCTCCACTGCTGGTCTTTTTCCTAATAACCTATCCACTGCGACAGGTTGCGCCGCTGGACTCGGTCCTCGACCGGTGCTCGGTGCGCCTCATCAGGTTGGAGCTTCCCTTCATAACACACCCGGTGCAGTCGGATCGTCTCGCGGTTTCCCCCTAACCAGTGCTCCTAGTTTGGTTGGTCCTGGTGGCGCTTGGCCATTTCCGACGCCTGTGACTCCAAGTAAGTCGGTTTGCTCTCAAGTAATTTTCTCTGCTCAGCCAAACACGCCTCTTTCGGAGTCAAATCTTTGTTTTTTTCTACTTGCTTTGCTCTAGCCGACAATTCGCTGCTCAACAAGGGTCGCTGGCCGAACTCCAGTTTCGCTCGTGCTACACAAAAGCAGCAGCAACTACCCCAATCTGGGCCCGCCATCCCCCACCTGCTGTCTGGCCAAAGTGGAAATGGACTCCGTTGGCCCCAGATTAATAATCTCGCTCATATCCCAAGCGGTTGGCCCCTGAGCGATCCCAGACGGCCAAACCTGGTTTCTGGTACTTGGGCCGGTTCTCCATCCGGGGACGGTCCTAACTACTATGGTCAGCCACAACAGCCAATGATCCCATCCTCCCGTATGTGCCAACCAGGCTCTGTGGTCACAGACTTCCCTCCGCCCATGAGTCTTCACTCTCGCGGCGCTGGTGCTGGTGCTATCACCAGTCAGACTTTCAGACCCCCCCACAGTGCCTTCTATCCAACAATGAATTCCGCATTTCCACCATCATCGTCCTCAGCTGCACATCGCATGTTTCTCAGTCCGCAGCAGTATTCACAACAGCTGCAACAGCAAAGCGTGCTTCGTGCTAATGCAATGCGCCATTTGGTGAACTTGGGTTTTCCGGACGATGAAATTCAGGCAATTTTCTCCGATATTAACACGAACGTCGAACGGGCGCTAAGTAAGTGCTATCTTCTTTTACAGCACACTGAATTCGTGCACCATTTTTCAACTTGTTGGCGCCCACAGTTGCTTCCACATCGCCACGTGGATCCTTGCTTTCACATTTATTTGCGGAATTCTCGTTCTACGACTATTTTTCGTTCATATCATTCTCCTAACTGTGCTCCACTTGGCTGACTTTTTCTCTGTTATAGTGGACCTTCGTGATCGCACATGCCATCCGGGCTTGGATGATCTCATCAAGTCTTTCACCACAGGCGGTCTGATGCAAATGAATCACCTCAATGACGAAGCTTTATGTAGTGACTTTAATCGGCCCGAATCTCTTTCAGGCGGTGGACGCCCTTTAGCCATGAGAGGTCTTCAGAACGTAAGTGCACTATGGCACCGTGGAATATTCCTTTTAAAAGTTACCTATCACAGCCCTCGATAAAGTCAAGCAGCGGACTCCTCGTAGGCCGTTACTCTGGTAGTTAAATAAAATGATCGCACTCTCATCATTCGCCATGCGAACGAACGATGCCATTCATTCAGACAATCAGTTTAGTCGTTTTCTGCCTCACTGACCACTTTACATTGCTGAAGATTCCCGGCTTACTCAATCACAATGCCTTCGGCTGTGTAACTATTTGTGGACAACTCTTTTCTCCGTTATCCACTAACTGAAGAGTTCAGATTTTTCTTGTACCCCTTTACTTCATTAAACTCACAGGAAAAAGGTCATTACCATGATCGGGCTGCGATTCCACGATTCACAAGCTGACAGACCAATTAATTCTAGTTCCCTCCACGAGGTTCTTAGACATCGTTCCTATCACTTAATTGGGTTCACTGTCCATATTTATGCTTAGCAGTGCAATTTCTCGCCCCAGTTTCTGGATCTGGCGCAGAATCATAAGCAAAACTAGGGTTTTTGTGTGTCGGTACATTGGTTGTGTCATTTTGCTGAATAACTTTGATTACCTACATTGTTTGCTTTCTAATGTTGGCATTCGTTGGTCCATCCTCAAAACGAGCTTGTCTAGAGTCGCACCAGTCAGAAGTTAGCAAAATCTACCGAAGCAGCTTCTGACTTCAAGTTCCATCAGAAAACCGACCCAGCTTTTTCCCTTTCGGATGCAGAGCGGCAGTCATTCACTCTGTACTTTGCATTTTTCTGGCGCAATTTTAGCCTCGAGATAACCAACTCTACGCTGAACATCTTCGAAAATACTTGGAACCAATTGAGAACTCATGATTTCAGAAAGTTTAAAAATAACCGGTTGGTATAATTTGTGGGCAACGTTTCGCTTTTGACACAAAAGCTTCCTCAGGCCGAGTGAACCAGTCGAGGATTGGTATAGCACTTATAGCAACTGGGATGAAAATCGCGACGAATTGGATGTAAGCGGAAGGTCAATCGCCTTACAGGTCAACGCATCACTCCAAATAGTGCATGGAACGGTCACAAGTAGTCCGCGTTACAAGGTCATACACGTAAGGCCTGTTAACGATGGGTGCGGGAATGATGTGATGTTCATTCTCTGCCCTGGATCCGTCCGCCGGCGCACCTCAGACTGGTCGGGTTAACACAGCTCGCCACAAACTCGAAAGCTCTGTCCCGTCCATTCTGTTCACTTCGCTAATCTCAACTGCCTCAGCAGTCCGCCTCTGGGGAGTTGATCACAACCCCTTTCTAACGACTCAATATCTTGGAACATATTTGGAACCGATCGGGAAGTCATCATTTCAGAAAACTTGGTAGACGACCGGTTAATGTGTTTATGGTGATGGACCTTTCTAACGATTTTACGTTACCCAAGTCCATCTCATGCCCTGTATCTATCGCGTGCATCGCTACTGCCGAACTCCTTAGTATAGTCATATATTCAAACTCATTTCCCAATGGCCGTGTTATGCGTCTCTTGTGTTCTGCTATCCTTATGCGTAGCTCTCTCGCGGTTTGGCCGATGTACACGTGTGCGCAGTCTTTGCAGCTAATCTTCTAGATACCATTGGTTGTCCTATCTGCAGGAAGTGGGTCTTTCAAGTGCACTAGTGTAGATCAGAGCGTTTGGCCTTTCTGGAAAATTACCCTTATGTTTGTTTTATTTAAGACCCTCCGAGTGGCCTCCGAAGTTCCATCATTATAAGGAATACCTACCGTCCCAATCCTCTCGGTAGTACGCCGTGATTGAGGATTTAAAGCCCGCTGCAACTGGCGTTTCACTAACCGCCTCGGGTATCCTCTACCAAGCAATTGGTTCGTTGCTTCTTTCTGGGCGGCCTTCCTATCTTCTTCCTCTGTGCACAGGGTCTGGGCTCTGTGAAACAGAGATGAGGCGATTCCAGTATACACATGCTTTAGGTAACCCGAAGTATAGTGGAGTACATCTCCTGTGTCCGTTGCCTTACGATATATCGTTTTTTTCTTTTAGACTACCCCCATTCTTGTGAACTAATCAGTCAAGGAATGGCAATGTTCCACTGTCAGATTTCACTTCCATAGTGAAGTTTATATTCTCCGCAAAAGTGTTCAAGCGGTTTAGAAACTCGTCTTTCTTATCCCGTTTTATGATAACAAAGGTGTCATCCACGTAGCGCCACCAGATTTTCGGTGAGCTACAAGTCAGCGCCCTCCTTTCAAAATCTTCCATCTATGAAGTTGCCAATACAGGGGATATTGGCGATCCCATGGCAGGTCCTAGTTCCTGAGCGTATAACCTAGATTGGAACGTGAAATAAGACATGTTAAAGCACAATTTTATTCCTTCTGTTATTTGATCTATCGTAAGCTTTGTTCTCTCTCCCAGATTACTGTCCTCAGTTAGACGGCGTTTCGCTATCTCCAAAGCGTCGCATATTGACATGTTGGTAAAGAGCGTGCTAACGTCAAAACTGATCATCACTTCATCCGACTCAACCTCAATCCTTTACACCTTTCTCGCAAAGTCATAAGAATTCTTTACGAACGTATTCCTTTGCCCTTTAAAGGGTTGCATTATGCTAATCAAATCACTGACATGACGGACTTATTGTCCATAACCTTATATGGTCCCGTCACTAGGTGCGCCTCCACTTTTTCCAAATAGTCTGACTTGTTCGTTATCACGGTGGTTTTGCCTTTATCGGTTTTGTGATAATGTTCGGATCTTTTAGGGCAGTTAATGCAACACGTTCCTCTGGTGCAAGATTTGGCTCCCCCGGCTGCTGAAATTTTATAAGGTTTACAAGCTGCACGAATATGTTCAGCCGTTGAAGCATGAGATCGACTTGGGTAACGTTAAAATCGTTAGAAAGGGGTTGTGATCAACTCCCCAGAGGCGGACTGCTGAGGCAGTTGAGATTAGCGAAGTGAACAGAATGGACGGGACAGAGCTTTCGAGTTTGTGGCGAGCTGTGTTAACCCGACCAGTCTGAGGAGCGCCGGCGGACGGATCCAGGGCGGAGAATGAACATCACATCATCCCCGCACCCATCGTTAACAGGCCTTACGTGTATGACCTTGTAACGCGGACTACTTGTGACCGTTCCATGCACTATTTGGAGTGATGCGTTGACCTGTAAGGCGATTGACCTTCTGCTTACATCCAATTCGTCGCGATTTTCATCCCAGTTGCTATAAGTGCTATACCAATTCTCGGCCTGAGGAAGCTTTTGTGTCAAAAGCGAAACGTTGCCCACAAACTATACCAACCGGTTATTTTCTAACCTTCCTAATATCAACACTACGCGAGTTCTCACGATTACTGATGGACCACTATATAAGTTAATTTACTCGCTACCGTAAATGGTTGTACCGCTTCTAATTGAAAAGTTAGATTATGTATGTGTATCCTTCAGAAAGCCTTTCTTATTTCTTGGCTTCTTCCTGCTGTTTGCACTATTAAGTAGTAACGGGCCACTAATGTGTAGTCCAACTGAAACACCTTTGGTTGCCCATAATCTCTTTATTTGATCCAGGAGCTTACAACTTCTGATACAGTACATCATGAAATACCAAAAATACTGCTTAGCAACATATTTTACTTGAAGACTGAGATCGTGGTTGGTGGGGGAAGAAAAGCGGGATGGGAAGGGACATAAAAACTATCACCAGAGCCATTGAGGTGGCTCCTCGCCATGCCAACTAGTGTATCCAACCAAACCTGTTCATCATTCTTGGAACCCCAGCTCGCCAGTCGGGGGACACCAACCGACGCCAACTTCAACTTGAGGTCTTTCGTTCCTCTTGACTAAATCATCGCTTATCCACCGCTCCTCTTCTTCCATCCCCACCGTGGGTGCACAAACAGCGCATGACACTGGAGTCGATGGGCTGTCATGCGCATCACGTGGCCCAGTCATTGGCGGCTGGTGCGGGATATACCGATGCTGAGCGGTTCACTCGCTCTTCCTGCATCAACTACGTGACGCCGAACACGCTCATTGCTCATGCGGTGCACCCACCGACCATAAGCTAGGCTGCGAAGGTAGCCTCTTTATACATGTCGACTTGATGGGCCAGGTTTCGCAACGGTACAGGAGGGATGGACGCACTACTGCATTGTAAATCCTACCCTTCAGGATGAGAGTGATGTCGCGCCCGCGACGCAGGTAGTGGACTGACAAAAGCGTTTAGAGCTTTACCTATGCGGTTCGTGATCTCATCTTCCATTCCATTAGTACTAGAGTAGCGGTTTGGATACTTGAATTCCTCAGCGACTTCTGCTTGATATCCACAAAGCGTCAGCGCAGAAGTAGGTCGCTGCTGATCTTGGAGAAATACTACATTTCGGGGGTGCAAAGTGGAGTCCGAAACACAACCAATGTTGCTTAACACGTCTAGGAACGGTCACAGATTGGGGAAATGTTTTCGGCGTAGTCCACGAAATAGCTCTACACCTTCCAAGTCGTTGCCGGTGAACGCCGTCTCCATGACTTCATCAATCGCGAACTTGAGAAAGAGGTGGCAGTGGGTAACCTTGTCTCACGCCCCTAGAGATATAAAAATTCGATGATAGTTTACCATAAACACTCGATCTGACCGAAATGCGCTCAAAAAGCGCTCTGATAGTGTTTGCGTATTTCTCGGATTTATCTTTTCTTAGCAGACAGTCCCAAAGAGCACATTGATCTACCGAGTCGAAGGCACCTTTGATGTCAAGAAGCACGACTACGGTAGGTCGCCAATAAATATGGTGGTGTTTCAACATCTGACATAATATGATTATGTGATCGATTCAACTGCGACTTCGAAAAAACCCGGCTTACTTCTCATGAATCTGGCTTTCACGAGTGCTAGCAAGTCTATGAAGAACTACGGAGGCAAATGACTCAAAGGCACTTGAGATCAGACTGGTCCCTCTATGATGGTCGCATTTCGAACGTGAGTGCCTTTTGACAATTTGAACTATGTCGAAGCGGCTCCAGTCTGTTGGGGCATTCCTTTTCCGACTGCTTCACTATTAAGTTGTGCAAGTCATCCACAAGTGCAGGTCCCCGAATCTGTAGAGGGGTGGCGGAACTCCAACTGCTCCTTCGACTGTTCAATTTCATCAGTCTGTTCTCACCTTCGACTTCTGCGCACGAAGACGGATCCATGGAGGAAGTCAATGTCTGATAGAGAAACTACCTTTCAAAGCGTTCGTCCCAACGCTGCAACTGAATGCGATCGAATAATGCCCTGTCAGAATGGAAAACTGGATCTTATCATCCCTCCACAGTATTCGTTCTTCTTCCACTGGGGGACGTTGCAGTGTGACCGATCTTACTGCTTGCGCCCGGTACGTCGCTAGAAGTAACGAGCCTGTCCCGTACTCTTGCGGCGCGGCTTCGAATCCGCGTAGGTGTTGGCCTCCTCGCGGTATACTCAGCCGGCGTACGACTGGTGGTGGTCGCATGGCAGCGAAGCGCCGTTACGGCGTACAGCTGACACATTATTAGTATTATTTATTACTGCTCGTTGGAAACTTTGAGACGCTGATTGTGCTTCACCACAATGACCTACGTACAATACTCTGGTTAAACCACGGAGTGGATAATACAGGCGCTTGTTACTTGGTAACACGAAGAGCCTTCTGATAATTGGTTGCCTCTGAGTTCGCGGCATGTAACTCCTCCTCGCAATCAGTGGTTCCATTTCCCTCAGGGTCTCTACACTTCGGCGCTAACTCGCCGTATTCCTTTGGGGCTAACACATGTTGTGCCTCCGAAACACGCGTACGGGGTATTAACATCTTGACTCATCCTCGACTACCTTCCCGAAACTGGTGACGGCGCTTGCATTCTTTGCCTCCCTGATAGTACAAATTCGTCAGCTGCAAACATTTCCTTCTCCAACTCGCACTTAGCGTGATCTGGCAAATTGTATCTTATGTTCGGTTCTACTCTGGTCGGTATCTACCGCTCAGTCTCTCAGCACATTCCTCCATATATCATCACATGTCGCCCACAGAACGATAAGTTGTCCTCAACCCCAAAATCACCTTGCAGGTGGTACACATCATCATTATGGGACACAAAACTCTACTTCGGTCATACTGTACTGTGCACTCGTAGCGCCCAACTTCACTCGTCACTTAAACTCATTTCCCGCGAATAGCCTGTCATTCTCTAATTGGAGTGTGAGCTGTCACTGGCGAATAGGGTTAATTGTCGGAACGCCAATTTCAGTCGCATCGAATGTGCGACGAGCAAGACGTTGTAGACCGTTCGTGAATCCATCTCTTAGTTGAAGCACGGAAAATGTTTCCGTCGGAAATTCATCCACGGCGTCCTCGGCATTTTGAGATTACATCTGATCAGTAGTTTAAGGCCAATCAGGAGCGGTGGTTGGTGACAAGGACGCATGGTAAGCCGAAGGTTAAGGTTATCTGGACTGACAGAGCTTTGTTCCAATTCTTTGCTACGCGAGCTCAAAGTAACCCTTTGCTGGTGAAACTATTATTGAGAAAAACGACCATGAGATACTTTCTACGGCACATCGGCTAAATCGTTTGAAGAGCGTTTTGAGAAGCATTTCACTAAGCCCATTGTGTTTTCACCAGAGCCAATCTTCAATGTTCATTTCCCATATCCAATATCAAATAGCTGGTGGTTTGGATGCACTAGAATTCGCAGGTTTCTACGCATCGTTACTGTGGGATACTCAAGAACCGCTTCTGGCTCGAATGGTCGCATTGTTCGTCGCCATACGGCATACTAAAGAGCTCTTTGATCAGCCGTCGTCGGCACGTATTCCAGTCATATGTGGTTACACTAGAGTCATCGAGGTCTTCTCGTTTATATCTCCTATCTCTGCCTGTTTGTCGCTAAAAGAATATTCATCACTAACGGTCGATTTTTGCGTAGTATTGCTTCCACTTTGTGTGGTCATCAACTTGAGTATTTTACTCCCTACCAGGCAATTTTGGTGATTGTTTTCAGCTCTTGATACTCTTTTGATCTGATCACTTCCTCACCCTATTACTCCGCCTGCATACTTATCTGCGATCACTGCACTTGCCTGAGTGAACACTAGAAGAACATCCAGTGACAACAGTATAATTTAACCGGGAATCCCGGACTGACGCGTACCATCTTCTTGAATCGAGCCATTTACGTGCCTACATTCGTGTCCGATGACCTTCATCGAATAATGTGAATCATAAGCATAACCAACGCCTACTGATGACAATGAATTACTGATCATTTTGGACTGCTGTTGTATCCGTGCCATCACTCGTATCTAATGCAACTGTTAAGTTCTCCATTTGGTGTTTCTCAACTGGCCACTTGACTTTTCACTGCATTTTTTCCTGTATGTCATCCGCCTAACTCGGCAAATATTTTTTGTCCGTCCCACGCTTTCTTCGCTCAGGCATCATGGTGCCCAGCCGACGATGTAACAAAAAGGTATAAGAAACTAACCGAATGACAGTCCGGCTTGTGTAATCCGTTTTCCTTTACGGGGTTCTCAGGACCGATCACTCGTGTGGTTGGCGACCTTTTATTGTGATCTGTACGCGAGGCATATGGCATCCTTGCATTTGGTTTACTACTTCTACCTGCTGCCGTCCCCATTGGGCGATTATTGATTTTCATTTCCCCTTCACTGAGTTTCTACTGTTGTGTACATGTTTCCTTATTCTCTCCTCGCCTTCCCCCGTTTGTTGCTACTTATTCTCCTTCGTGTCGCAAGGTAGCTTCTTGTGCTCAGCCGATTGTTTACCAGGGGTTCAGCGTACAATATACAAAGTACATATCAAAGGACTAATCACCTCAGGATTGATTCCCTCCATAGGTACAGTTTAACCGAATGAAATGAAAAACAAAACTAACACTTCAAAGTGGGTTTGTAAGAGTCCACTATAGAACCGGGGAAGTCCTAACGATCAGTTGTCCAACAGATATCCGTCAGCCGAACGAAGCCGGAGATCTCCGTATGTAGAACTTGCAGTGCTCGTATGTCGATTGAAAGCGCTCTGGTACAACCATGTGGAGCAGATTGAAACGATCGATTGAATACAATGCGCCTTTGGAACTCATGAACGTAGCTATAATTCGCCTGTGATACACGTGACGCCACTTTAACATGTAGTTTATGCGACCCCACCCAAATCGAAACTTTATCTACTGTTTTCAACTATTGTTTTTCAAAGCAAAATTGGGTGTTAGAATGGAGGCAACTAACTACCGCTTTTCGTGTTTTGTTACTTCCCCCGGTGTCTGTAAAAACAGTACGACCGCACTTAGGTCTTTCCATTTTGCTCGATTTACACCAGTTGGTTGGGCTATTCTACACCTCCCATGTCTCCATAAACAGACGAATTGCTTGTTGGACCTTTTACGATGTTCGTTTGTGCATTGATAATGCAAAGTGTAATCCATATTTTTATTCCAACCTCTCTTATGAGCCATGGTCACGGGAACCATTCTCGGACAGCGGTAAAAAGCCCATTTCACACGACACTCTTAAAAGTCGCAGACGCCACTTTGATGACACAAAATGGTGTGGAACAGTGCAGTTAGAGCAATCAACACAGATTGATCACGGATTGATGGGCCATCATATCCGAAAACACCTGTTTTCGTCAACTCTCGGTTGCTGCATATCATTGGATCGCACCGGATTGGTTCAGGTGGCCCGGTCTACTAGTGATGTATCAGGCCAATCAACTTGCTCTTTGAAATGCTGCACCCACAGTTCATTTCGGCAGGACAGATAGTAGACTGGCTGTACTTCTCTCCCAGCAGTTTTTTCACTCATCAGTGTCCATCTACTCCGAATGACGCCTTTCACTTTGAAGCAAGACAGCAAATCTAAAAGCTATGCGTATAACATATTTTTCTTATATTGTTTCTGCTTCCCGTGAATTTGAATCGTTTGTCACCCGCGATTGTCCTGGCTTGTTTGCGCCACGTCCCTATTGGCTTCATATTTTGCATTAACCTATCTCCTCTTTCGAGCGTACAATGGTGAATGTCAGTCTTGTGTTCCGCTTCTCTTTTGTCCCCGACAAAATTGCTATGATCCATGTAACTGGGTCTAGCAGATAGAAGGATGTGTTGTTGAACTTGATGGTGTTCGAACTCCTTTCGTACCGGTCTCCCACATTCAGTGTTGACGTAGGCATTACTTGGTTATCTTGACAAGTGAATGACATCCGTCGTTATCGCATATGAAATTAGGCTTTTTAAGTTATTGCCTCAGCTCTAGTTCCCAACCCGTCGTGAACTTTCTATGACATTGTTAGGAATTCTCTTTTCCAGGTGCATAAAAACGCCGGTGTGGCCGGTGGATCAATTCCCACGGAAAACCTGGAGTTTTCATTGCACCTATTACAGCAACGTGAAACCCAGATACTGCAAGCGATCATGCAATTGCAGTCCAAGCATCAAGTATGTGACTTCCGTCTTCTGTGTCATTTCATACATTGCTCAGTTAGACTTAATGCGCCCCATGCTTTATGCTCGCTCAGAATCCCCAACTTTGCGCTTTTGTTTCCCACGTTCGTTTGATCATTAACAGCTCCGTTGCAATCACTGTGCACTTAACTTCCTTTCCTCGTACACGCACACTGGGGCCTTAACTACTCTTTTTACTATCTTACCATTACGATGCGATTTTGTATGCGTCAGGTAGTCGATATCTACCAACAGGATAGCAGTTTTGTTGTTGCTGGCACTTATCCATATGTACTTGGTCCTTTTTTGCGGTTACACCTGATCCTATCGTTAAAACAACCTTCAATCTCTTTCGCAATGATGGTTTCTAACATCTGTCTACACAATACTCGCTTTAAGACATGCAGTTTATCGGTTGATGACAATAAATTAGCTTCGAAATGTCTTTTCTGAACATGATTTAGATGACAGTCTAACAAAAAGCTCCCTTTCCTCATACCAATTTTACTTTCGCTCTACTAAAGATCATCTTGGCTTATCCTTACCAACCTTAGGAAATTGACACTTATTCATATCATGTTACCACTCTTCTAACTTCTAAACTTGCGTTCTAGGAGCTGAATCAGAAACTGAACCAAATTCGTTCAGCTAATCTCCCTTTCTCCACTAATCCGGTAATGCAAGAATTGCAACTGCAAGCAATCCAAGTAGCTTCCCAGATCGACGCTCAGCACACCCAGTTGAAACAGGTGCGAAGCCAAGCTGGTTTACTTAAACAAATTACTATGCCCAGTACCAATTTCGCACAGTCCCACAACCCTCCGGCGACAGCTACTGCTACGACATTCAATCCTATCTCGAGCAACAGCAACAGCGCTTTCACTTTGCTGACCACAACCTCCTGGCCTTCAGGAACTTCCAACACTGGCACCCAACAGCAGATAACGGACGGTATTGGAGGTGGTGATCACACCGTAGATTCCGCTGCCACTACAGACCAGAGCTTAAAAATGGGGTCGGGCGCTTTCTTGTGGGAGTCCAACCCTTGGTCTGGACCGACACATAGAGGATCGGCTGATCCGTGCTCATCAAATATTGATCGGCGTTGGTCATCTGCTGGTTTTCCTAACCGGCCACCTTATGGTGCATTGGGCGATCCCCGCTGGGCCGATCTCGGTGTTGACAGCGGTGGAAATTTGCTCGCTTGTACACCACAACGTCCCAGCAGCGATATTGACCTTACATCCATGGCGGGAGCAAATGGAAACCAGCGCTTTGGAGTCTCAAGGTCGTGGTTGCTAGCTCACAACATTCCACCCCATGTAACTGTCGGTGTTCTAAAATTGGCTGTGTCCACTGCACTGATGAAGCATGCTAAGTTAGGCGACACGCAACCTGACTTCGAACTTCACCCGAATATGTCATCTCGATGGGTTCTCATTGGCCTGTCGAGCCCTTCGGAAGCCGCAGTGGTTCAGGAATGTTTAGAAGATCCTGGTGGCAATTCTGTCAGTGATCAAGGTGGAGCGCATTATGGTGCAATCAAAGCCATTTCTCCCGCGGATGCTCTGATGCATTTGCAGGAAATACAAGTGCGTCATGCTCGATTTCCGTTTTTTTCGCTGTAATATTACTTTTCAACCTTGATGCACTGCCATATGATGGCTTGATCCTCCATTTGATGATGATAAAGTAAGGTTTTCTTAAGGTTTGTGGATTCTGCGCCCTTGATTGTGGCCTTGCTAATTACTCGGTGTCATTTATTTAACCGCTACGGGGCGCACCTATTGCTGGGTCTCATCTTGCTCTGTCCTGTCTGCATGCTGATCATGCCTTATATTTAGCCGTCTGATCTCGTAGTATTTTCCGGGTTTCAACAAAACAACCCGCTTTACGGGGCTCCTACCCATGCCATCTATGTTGATGGTGCACAAGCTGGTCGATTATGCATTGCCTCATATAAGCGTTTAGGGACGAGTATCCGGCTGCCGTTCATACGGATTTATCTATTGAAGAATCAACGCCCCGAGAAATGGATTGTCGTTAGATCGATTTCCACGCGGATGACCTTATATGGAACTTGGTGTTCTTGTCACAGGAAACTAGAATGTACATCAGATCGTACTTTGGCACCACAAACATCATCATCTCGTCCTGAGTCAATATGCTTTGGTCAATTCGTGTCTTGCTACCTGTGACGATTTAGTTTCGCAGTTATATGAATTTATCACATTTCCCACTTTCTAGTCATTGGCATCACGTTTCAATAAACCATTCGGCAATTCGGATACTTCTACCGGCCGATCCACGGCCCAATCCACTAACCATTTGTTAAATTACGCCGGCAGCACTGATCTCGGTTCCGGAAACGTGGAGTCCACCAATGCTATGCTCAACGTGGCTGATGTCCATTGAGTACAATCGCTTTGGCTGTTTCCTTCGATTAGCGGATCCTTGAGTTTAGTTGAATTCTTTCAGTTGGGCCTCTTCCCAATCCTCCCATATACAGAGGACTTATAAGAACATGATAGTTCGCAAACCCCTATCGGATCGTTACCGGCGCCGGATCCGCTCATTGTTTTCCGTCTCATTCCTGCGCTCCTCACTCGCATCCCGTCCATGAGCTCAAACCGATTGCTTTCGTCCAAGGTAGACGGAACGTGTGTGTGTGTGCGGAATTCACATCACACTACCATCTTCCACTCTTTTTGTAGTCTATTGGTTCCGTGTGTGCGCCCTTGCAGCCAAATTGTTCTCCTCATTACCATATCGATCATCACCCTCTCTCTCGAGATACATGCGTTTTTTTGTAACCCTTTATCAGTCATTGTGCTCTGTCCAACATCCCCAGCAGCATCCACTCCTACATTTTCTTTCACTCGTCACAAATTTGGCCCATGAACCGACTCCTTCCATGCATGGCACGTGTTACTCGCCTTTCTTGTGCATGTGTAGTGTTTCACACAAACACGCGTCTCCCTACTTTTCGGGATACGATTATTTTTCTATGTGATTGATCATCATCAACTCTCTATCTCTCTCTCCCTCTCCTTTTGATACTTATTTACGTTATTTGTCTACGCTTGAACGAGTATCTTGTTTTATTCTCTTACTCTATAGCCCTTTGGACGCGTTAGTTTGTTTGCTACATTGCTGTGTTCGCGTCCTACTTTCCTTTGACCACGTGCCAGAAATGTCTGTATGCGCGTGTAAGTTTATGTGTTTCCGATCACGTGTCCGCTCCCATCGATTTGTATTCACAACCATGTGCGCGCCTTTGTGTCTTCTATCTCTTATCTCCCTGTGTGTGTAACTTGCTACCCCGTATCCCCAGGTGAGGATGGATGAAGGAGAGGAGAGATGTGTTGTCCACGGAGGCTACGTCGCTGCTCCTTCTCGTTTACATTTGTGCCTTGTGAATTGACTCACCTGGATATCTTCATCTTGCCCACACCGGCTTACCTCAGTCGGCAACTTACCTCTGCCTTTATCATGCGTTACCGTGACTACGTCTGACTTGATCACCACTTCGCTTATGGTTGCCTGCTCTGCTCATTGCACCGGTTGGATGTTATCGCATATGAGCTATTGATCATTCGTAATCATATATGCATTTTTCGTTGTTGCCACTACAGCATTTTGTCATGCTAATGTCAGTGCTACCAATGCTCCCGCACTTATTCTGTGGTGGTGTCCAATACCAGGTGTCCCCCAATCCACATTCACCCTTTATTGTGTTTGCCCTGCTCGCACGATTAGTTTGCCACATGCGTTACACTTTATTCACATCTCTCCCCCTTTTTCTCACAACACTATCTAAGAGCCCGATAAATCGCTTTTAGAATGTGACTCATATCTTCCTCGAGTTTGTTTTCCCTTCCGCAATAGCCGTGGCTCTTGGTGTTGAAGCATGCTGGCTCGCTAATATTTGTTCACCATTAGCTGAATAGGAAACGACCTCACATCTGGTAGGATGCTCTTTCGAAGGAGTATTCCAACGTGGGGAAACTGGATAGATCACATAGCTTGCATTTTTTGATCTGTGAGTGAGTGAGTCGAACCACTCCACGCAGTTACGGATGATAGTTGGGTTTGCTCAAATGCAAATCATCTTTCATCTCCTCCGCCCGTTCATCGAGTGGGAAAAGCAAGAACCACTTGGTTTCACTAACAGCGCTATCGTAACGCATAACCGAGTACACGCGTCACATGCATCACTTTTGCATACAATGGAAATGCTGCATATCACGGCGTTCGAGCATAATGGCCACTTGAGTGTTGTCCATAAACTACAGCACGATATTTGATCTCCGTGGTGTCTTGCACTACAATTCACTCAGAAACACCTATTGTGTGCCCCGCTTGTTCTTTTAAGATCCGCTATACATGTGTATCCTGGTAGTGCGATTATCGACGTCTGTTCTCTTTGCTTAAAAACCATGTTGACCGGCTTAAGTTGCAGTGACATTACTAAGTTCAGATGCGACTTTCCGGCTGTACTTGTATATATATATATATATATATATATATATATATATATATATATATATATATATATATATGGTTGGCGGCATCCGGTTTCGGATTTGCCTGTCACTGTGGCAAGCCACAGGACGCCTGCGCCTACAGAGGGACCATGGATGGCTTGCGCTGCACCACCCACAGCTCCAACCTCATACCCCATATCCAGCGTAAACCCGAAGGAATAACACCGGGAGGCATGCGGATGGGAACCACGTTTCATCAACGGAGCCGGCCCACATTCCTTCACAGGCAAACACAAGCACGCTGTATTTGGGGAATCAACCGCACACAAGGCGGTGGCTGGACCGTAGTCCGCTCCACACTGAGTGCATGGAAGCACTCTTCGAGCCTAGCACGGCCACAAGGACCGTGCACCCCGTCCCCTCCAGCAACGATCAACTATCTTCTAGAGACAGTATGGAAGAGGTAGTGGGTAATAGACAGGTAGACACATTGTCAACATGCACATCAAGCGCAGCCGCACCGGGGATGTCAAACAACAGCCAATCACTTGAAATAACAGTAACGAATAAGATATATCTGTTAAAGAATACGGCTATGCAGACATAACACTTCCTTACAGTAGCATATGTTGGTTAGCAGCGAATCCGCGATAAGTAAAAATATGTCCAGAAGTGACTCAGAACATGCTACAAACGCAATAAAGTTAACGAAGATAAGCACAACTACCGTAAGCAACGTGGAAATTTAATAGAAGATTATTCCGGTAGGCAGAACAAATCAAATGAAGTGGAATGAGATTTATCCAGCTTAAAAAGAGACCTAGTTTAAGTGTAAGTTGGTTTAGCCCAACTGCGGTGAAGAAGCATCATAAATGCAACGTCAGCCTCAGTATGGGGCATGCATATATATATATATATATATATATATATATATATATATATATATATATATACAGCAACAGTCTACGAATAGATAAGAGCCATCGGAAACCATGGGACTCAAAGATGGTACAGAAATAGTAAAACACAACACATAAAAGCCCATGGTTTCATCAGAGGGCAAAATACTACCCGGTTGCCTAGACCGAAGTAGGGTGCTGACTTAGGGGACACCATCCCGAGCCTTTGGCTGATTAGCCTGCCCACAAGGTAGCGGAGCGAATTCAGGGAATCGCGAACATTGGGAGCCGGTGACTGATTGCTCAGTTCATCCGCTTTTCGTTTAGTTCCTTTATCAAACAGGGGCCCAATGCCTGGCGATGGATAGTTCTTGAATAGATCGATTGCCTACAGTCGTCTCTGGAGATTATTAAAGTCCAATATGTAAAATTGCAACTAAGCTTAATATTTCACTGTACATTTAGGTGGTCGGGGCGGAATGTTGAAATACGTGACGGGTTGGATCAATTAGATCGGGCGTCGCCTTTAGTTGACGCCCCGGTTAGTCTCCATCGCGCGATCGCTTCCTGTGCTGTAACATTCGTAGTTCTATCTAACGACTGTTTGTTTCGTTTGTTATGGATAGCAAACATAATCTTTCATCATACAAAATAAAAGTTTCTCTAAGTTCTGTCTACATTTGGAAACCCCAAATTGGGCTCTTGCCAAACCGGCAGGCTCAGGAATCATTTAAAAAGGCATAATTCCAGAGCATAGACCAGAATCCTGCAGCTCTGAAGAGGAGTAAGGGGATGGTGGGAATGGTCCAGAAAATGATGACGCACGATATGGTTGGCGGCATCCGGTTTCGGATTTGCCTGTCACTGTGGTCAGCCACAAGACGCCTACAGAGGGACCATGGATGGCTTGCGCTGCACCACCCACAGCTCCAACCACATACCCCATATCCAGTGTAAACCCGAAGGAATAAGACCGGGACGCATGTGGATGGGAGCCATCTTTCATCAACGGAGCCGGCCCACACTCCTTCACAGACAAACACAAGCACGCTGTATTTGGGGAATCAAAGGCACACAAGGCGGTGGCTGGACCGTAGTCCGCTCCACACTGAGTGCATGGAACCGCTCTTCGAGCCTAGCACGGCCACAAGGACCGTGCACCCCGTCCCATTCAGCAACGACCAACTGTCTCCTGGAGCCAGTATGGAAGAGGTAGTGGGTAATAGACAGGTAGGCACCTTGTCAACATGCACATCAAGCGCAGCCACACCTGGGATGTCAAACAACAGCAAATCATTCGAAATGTTGATATCGAATAAAGTAAACGCATATGACGACATAAATACTCGCCAAATGAGCATATGGAAGAAATTGGTTAAATGTGAATACGCGATAAGTGCAAAATGTCCGAAGGTTATTTAATGAATACCACGCGATAAAATTACGCAAGTTTACTACAATTTGCGTGAGCGACGTGTGAAAGTTGGGAGATTATCAAGTCGGCAGAACAAACCAAGTAACCTATAACGAATTTTATTCACATTAAAAAGACCTAGTTTAAGTGTAAGTTGGTTTAGCCCAACTGCGATGTAGAAACATCATGAATGCAACATCAGCCTCAGCAAGGGGCACAATATATATAAATAATAAATAAATAAATAAACGCTTTGTTCCTCAGCAGTGCGAGGCAAAGACCAATTGGGTGGTCTTATCAACATGTACAACGTGATCGCATAATATATTTAATTGTTCGTCTTTTGATTAAAGGTTCCCATATGGGTTTTTGAAGTGATTAGCAGTCAATAGACCAGTCACAATTTGATGGAAAATCTTGACGAGTGACGACGATGGTACAGAGACATCAGCTTGGAAGGTGTAATGCATCAACGAACCAGTGCGTCAAAGGAGAAAACAGAATTGGTTAAACGGATTAATAGGAGTAAGATAGTTCTCAAATATATACTCAAGAATGCAATTATATGTGGGTAATCTTATACTATTGAAACGAATAGAGGATATGGTGACTTTCATATGTATCCAGGACCTTTCTCATACAAATCATCTAGAGTCACCGTTTGGCTTAGTGTTGACCAGATGTTTGCAACAGTCAGGTGAATATTAATCATGCGTCTGAATTGTGCATAGGTAGTGCAGTTTCTAACACTCGATGGAAGTTTGTTCCATATTAACGCATATTTTACAGAGAAAAATTTTGAGCGGAGCTTTGTGCGAGACTTTGGTATTTTCACTGTGCGCTCTCTTTTCTTAGTTCATAGCGCATACGAGTCTGAAACTCGAGTTGTGGCTGAGCAGTGAAGGTCAATCCGAATAGTAAGCGGTATAAAAGGCACAGATTAAGTTTGAGTCTGCGTAGCCATAGCGGCTCCAGATTTAGCGCCTCGCAACGCTCACGGTATGTCATAGTATTAGGCGTGTTCAGAAACCTTTTTGTGAATGATCGTTGAATGTTTTCTAGTGCTATAATATCCACTTTTCTCAGATTACTATGCACTATCGTACAGTACTCAAGTTTCGGCCTAACACATATTTTAAAGGCTTGAAGCCTGGAATCCCTCAAAATAAGAGTTCGACTTATATAGGCGATCACTTTTCTGGGAGAAACCTGCAAAAATATAACATGCTCTAAAAAGTTAAATGAGGCAGAATATCTTAGACCAAGGTCTCGGACTGCGCCACACACAGGAATAGGGGTATCGTTTAATGTAAGGATGTTCAGAGAAGGGCCACAGCCGTAGTACAATAGATTACTTTTGTCCGTAGCAAAGTGCAGCTTCCAGGAGTTACTCCAGAGCTCCAATGCGGACAAGTCAGACTGAATATAAGCTAAGTTAGGACTACATTGTCCAGGGGCGGAACAATACACAATTTTAACATCATCTGCGAAAAGGAACGGCTTTCCATAATATATATATATATATATATATATATATATATATATATATATATATATATATTGAACATCCTAATACGTGACATTTTGGCTTCGGTTGGAGTTTTGATACAATGGCCTATGAAACAGGTTGCCATTCATCGATTTCCTCATTGAATTTCTCCTTCAGTATCTAGAGCCGAAACATATCTGTAGTTCTTACTCGAATATATTGTTATATAGACCTTTGCGTATGGTTCCGGCCTCATGCCCAACAGTTTCCATATACACAAGTTATTTGACAAAGCGTTCTGCGCATCTTTACTCGCTCAGCGTTTTAACGAATGCTACCTAGTTTCCGTCTGCAATTCCTGCTTCCTTGGTCTCTCATAAATGATTGGGATTCTGCCTTTTGTCATCATTTGTCCGATGCCTTCTTGTTTCAGCATCTGAAGCGTTCTGATTTCCCCTCTTTCCAGCTTAATATACCCGATTTGTGTTACGTCATTTCGCTGACCATCACTTTGGACAATCTTGCCTCATCATAACTGGGTCCATCCATTGCCATTACTACGTTCTCCACTGGCGCATCTCTCCCCATGTCTATAGAAGCTGATTGTTGAAATCTGCGTAACATGATTCCCTTCACTTCGTTTACTGTGAGCGATTGTATGCCCACTTTGCTTTCCTGCTTCCATATTCTTATCTATGGAAAAAGCATCAGTAGTACACTGTACCAATCCTTCGCTGCCCCGCGACTACCACTAGTCGCGCCTGGGCTGGGAACACTGGTGACATCACCTGCATCATCACAAAGCACAATAGCTTAGGTGGGTAACACTGCTATTGTGTCGCAATTCGATTGTAGTATACAATAATGAGAAAGGAATAAGCAACAACGAAACGATAAATTGCATTATGCGTCCAGACTGGAGTCACGGTTGCAGGGACAGACTGAGAGCGGGACGGAGGGATGTTGGTCGGTTTTTCACCGTGTCAACAAGTGCACCTTGCCAAGTGTGTTCGTCATCTTTCGAAACCTCAACCGAGGTTAATCTGGAATTGACCAACTCATCAGTTAGTCTCCCCCTCTTCTTCTATCCATATCCTGGTCACGTAA